TTACATGAAAGTGTTTGTTTGGAAGTAGCTATGATTATACATCAATATGGTACGGTAACGGTGTACATGGTTTTAATAGACTGAATAAAAGATCGTAGATAATATATGCTTACATAGAAGAACATTCTAGAACACATAATAACAAAAATATGAAGGGTTGGAAACAAGTTGTTACTTTATAAATAAATTCTGGTATTAAGTCTGAATAAAATGAGTTAGTTAAAATAGGATTAGTTAATCTCGAAGACGATCGAAATAATAAGACGTAATAGTGTGATTAGTTGAAACGAAGAGTTAAACAAATATGTTTGGTTTACATTATCTTTGAGTACTTTACTGCTACATCTAGTCACAGTAACAATATAAGACAACAAATACTACGATTGAGGATCATATACTATTCTTTACAGATATTTGTTGTTAACCAACTATTATAATGAGATAACAGTTGGTTCATTCACGTGTGTTGGTTCGACCTTTGGATAAACCATCCATATATGGTATCTATAGAAATCTGAAGTAAGAACATAAAGTTCCACTTCATCAATCAACAGCTTAAAATGTTCTTAGTTAGTTTATCTTTTCTTTCAATAGCAACAATCAACTTGATATTTAACAGCTACCGTACTTAGATTTGTACTTAGCTAACTTTAGTGTTTCCTACAAAAACTAGGAGGCTGTGAATTACATGTACTGCATATGCTTAAAAAAAAAACTCCTCACTTACTGGTGGATGAAAAGGAGTAGATTTATGTTTCGACTAAATAAGTGTCAGTTACTAATTAATTAAACACAAAATGTCCAAGTTTATAACAGAAACAAGTGTGTTCATTTGCTTTTTTCTCAATGAGTATATATTTATCGAATGTAACAATTACAAATGATGAATATAAATATAACCACTAATTATATATTATATAAAGTGTCTTAACTTTTCATTCGAAAAACTAAGAAAATTCTATACTTTTGTTTAGTATTTTCCGAGTTGAGCTTCCAGTTGCATACTTTCAAATTCATCGCCTAGTTTTGTACGAAGTTCGACCAACTTTTGATCAATATCCTCTATTTCTTTTTCAAGCTTATTCTTTAATTCTTGTTTCTGTTGTATTGCCTCTTCAAGATTCTTACGTTTTATGAAAGCAGCTTTCTGACGCTCGGATGCTTCTCTAAAATAATAAATAAAAAGTTAGTGAGGATGTTTGAGAAGAACTTTGTTGATTGGCAAGGTAGATGTTTCACTGCAGGCATTACAATTATTTATTTTGGCATCAAAAATGTTTTCAGCGATAATTAACAAGCCAAAACAATGTGAAACATGTTTCAACTCTCAGTTTATATATGTTCATTTCTAAATAAAAACTCTAAAGGAATGAAATTGTTTTCATCAAGAGATGTCAGTTCAAACATTGAATTCTTTAAAGACTTATCAGAGTAGTAGGACCTACACATATTTGTACAGTAAATGGCTTAGCTAAGTCTGATGAAGATTCTGATCAAATGCCGAATCTTTTAAACACCATGACGAACAGTTTATCACGACAGGTAAGTAAGTATTTATCTCCCTAAGTGGAAAATTTTGCTTCAGAACTAATATGAATCAACGGTAAAGTTAGAGATAGATTACTAGGTTAACATTTACAAACTTATTAAAAAAGTGGTATATCAACACAGGGAATTACGAAATGATGTAAAATACAATATCAAAAACGCAAGAAATATTCAATATAACATCCTTCGGAGGTGTTAGCAAGCTCGAACAGTTCAAAATAGTTTTGAGCAACAAGTCATAAGCGTTAAAATACCTGATAGGAGAATATGAATAGGTATTAGAGAGAAACTGAAAAGGAATATAAGGAGCACTAGTCTCAACACGTCACAAGGCATTGGGCCACAAGGACCAACAGAATAAAGAATAGATCTCAGTAGACTGCCTGGGTTAAATTTAAGAAAGTAGGAACAAAAAGGCAGCAGTCAATAACATCCGAAAAAGTAGAGAAAGCCAATGCATTCGCTGAAAACATGGACTAAAGAGCAAGTGAAAAAGAAATATGCAAAAGATCTTGCAACTATAGATTAACAAGCCGAAAGGGATGGAAATATGAAGGTACTTTGCGACTCGACCACCAAGAGATCACAGAAATATAGTAAACCAGAGTGACACTCAGGAACAAGAATAGTGCAGGAAGTGTGCAGAACACATTGACGAGTTATTGTATACACTACTACAAAGGATCTCAAGGACACCGAAGCAGAACATACAGATTTCTTACTAGATTTCACTTCAACAGCGACGAAAATGATCAGCATAGCCACCAGACGAATCAAGAGTGGAAAAGAAACAGCACCAGAAAACACACCAGCATAGATATTAGCAAAGAATTAACTGCGAAATTGCTCCAGATTCTTTACAGAAAACTTAGTGTGGAAGAACAGGTAGCAAAAGACTGGAAGTAGGAATACCTGATCAGTATATCCAAGAATGGATATCTCGGTAATTATGACAGCCGTAGAAGCATCCCTCTATTATCAGTATCATACTAATTTCTGGATAGTGTTACTCAACCGAATGGTAGATTCAGAAGACACTCAGTTCGGAAATCAACTTGTTGGTGTTTGTAAGGACCGATCATTCATCGGATAAATCATGACAATACGGATCTCTGTTTAACGACCAGTTGAATGGAACTCAATAACGTACCTCGACTTACTTGACTCTAAGAAAACATTTGACAGAGCGGACAGGAGAAGTTCATGGAACCTTCTTCGGTACTATAGTGTGTCTGAGTAGACTGTCACCACTAAACGGAATCTTTTGGAGGGATCACACCTCAAAAAGGTGAGTGAAACACATCTCACAGACTCATTCCAAGTGAATACAGGTATCAGATAAGGCTACCGATTCTCACTGTGCCTCCTTCTTCTAGTTGGTTAGTCTATAGTTAAAACCTCAGCACCTCATGGGAAACACGGAATATAGTGAACAGATTGGATACACATAGAATGTTTCCAAGACAGTTCAAATCTACTTGTCAGTCTGTCTATAATAGCCTACTCTGTCACAAGACAAGTCAGATGTTAAATTTAATGGAAGTTAAAGAAAGATGTTCAAAAATTTAGCAGAAACCATTAAACCATACACACCAAGTAAGGTTTAACTTAAAATCTTGAATTCAGGAAGAAAAGAGACAGACCGAAAGACGTATGATGCCTTAGACTGGACGTGGACATGAACATCATTTCTCACCGACTGGATGTGAGTGCTCATGACAGAGTTTATTGGAAATTCCTGATCGATGGTCAATGCTTCAAGAGTAATAACTGATATATATACTGATATACATATATACAAAATTATATACTTACTCTATTTGTCTGTTGATATAGTCAATTGAATCTATACAGAAGAATCCATCTTGATTAAATTCATGTAATTGATTCATCAAATCAATGTTAACATTGGACTGTGGAATTTCATGCTCCTCCTTATTATAATCCTAATTTGAAATGAAAAATATATTGTCTCAAAAACAAATTCAAAGAGAAATGTTTTACTTTTGTCATTTCTGTTTGTTCATATTCTAAAGGTTCATCAGAATTATGATATAATTCATTTAGCAAATTATTCCAAGCTTGAATGAATTCGGTTTCAGCTAGCTGTGAAAATAGAAAAATTATTTTAAATTAAAAAAAACAAATAATTTTAATAATTATGATTTACATTGAATTCTTTTCTTTGTTGTTCCCATATTTCAATATCTAATTTATTGTTAAAATATTTAGTTAGACAAGTATTTCTGAAATAAATAAAAAAAATAGTTAATTTTATTGATTACAAGTTGAATATTGGAATAAATCAATAGAATATAATGTAAATTATCATAAGTATAATTTTAAAAAGTATATATAATTAATTTGTAGAAATTATTGTAATGTTGTGTCACCCCACCTTAAAGAAATGTTCATTTGGTAGAATATAAATAAATATGGATAAAGTTAAATAACAGAAAGGCATTTTAATCGATATTTCAAATTTAGCCATCGTTTTTTTCATTATCCTTAAAAATGAATCTATCGAAAATAAATTAATCTTGATAGACATATGCTTAACTCCAATTTAAGTGAATTTCTGTGTTATATATCTATCTGTTGATCCAACATTATTCTATGGATTTTATTGAATTCATATATTTTTATTATTAGCCGAATAATAACAGGGAATACAAGATATAGTTTTGTAGTGTGAGCTACTTATAAGTAGTATATGACGTGAGTGTCAACGTAATGTCTGGCAGCAGCAGATGGGGAAAGATCAAGAAAGGAAGAGTTAGAACACAATGGAATTTGTATGAAACGCATGAATAGTGACAATGGATTGATGTTTTGCAACAGGAACAGTCCAGTTCGATATGATGGACTGATATTTTGCAAATGAACGATTTACGATATGGTTTTCCGATTTTACTGAGTAACTCTGTAATATTTAAAATAATATTTATTAACTAACATGAATTTTTGATAGTCAGTTAAAGAATTACACTGTAATCCTCTTTTTTCTGTAAATCAAAATATCAAGATTACAATGTCAAATCTCTTTGATATCATTATTGGTTTATAAGACTAATAATGTAAGTTGTAATAAGATTGAATTCATGAGATCTAATCAAATCAACCGGTGCCGAATAAAACTGCTGTTCAGGGACCAGATCATTTCAATATCACTAGTCAGTACTATTCAACTTTTTCCAAACATCTTTCTAAGTTTAGTAACGAGCTTCAAAAACAATATATTGAATGATTTGATCCATTAATCACTCTGCCTTTGTTTAAAGTAAGTAGTATTTCCAGATGCAGTCGGTATTTTCCTAGCTACTGTCGTCACATGATAATATCACATAAGATGTTTGCAACTCTTAAGTTTATATCAGATAAACGGGATATAAATAAACAATTTTCCCTTATTTGTTTATGAATATATGCTAGTAACTATTTTGTATTCGACTGTTCATACTTGACAAAAATAAATTTAACCAATTCATTCATTACCCAATAAAACATGAAAACGTACATATTCAAATTAGTAGATATATCATTTAGTTCAGTGATTAATTGATGAATAACATCTTCTAGTTTAGATCTTGTTGTGAAATCATTCAAACGATTTTGTAAATCTTGATAAGATTCTTTGAAACATGAAGTCAACCATTTATCATCCTCAACATCAGCTTCATTATGATGCTTATTCTCATTAGTTATAATGTCATTCATGGAGCTAGTAGAAGTTACAGTATTTGTAACAGTATAATCATTGTTCATTCCTATTGTGTTATGTTCAATTTCTTCAGTTTCATTCATTTGTTGTGAACATGTTTGTTTTTGACTACTTTCCAAATTATTTGAATTATTCAACTTGTAATTAAAAATTTTTTCAAACAATAATTGCTGTTGATTAGAATCACAGTTAATTGAACAAACCCATATAATTGCACTAGATAACCATTTGGTAGTTAAGTGACATACAATGGATCGTTTCTCGTCAATTTTATTAACATTATTGACCAAATTTAAATTTAATTCATATAACCGTTGATTTAAAAGTTGTTGCATATCTATAATTAATTTTAATGCAGATTGATCATTTAATCTAATAGTTGAATTCGTTTGATCAAATCTAGAAATGAGACAGAACAGTTCAATGTAAACAAAAAGAGTAAAATTAATTTGAATTAAAATTGAGACAATAATAAGTTAACTAAAAGCATTTTTTTTTTAAAAACTCAATCATACTTCTTCCTTGTTAGCAGTCTAGGTGTTAACATTTAAAAGATTATTAAAAATAATTAACATTAATCGGTCACTGAGTGCTAACTAATTTTAGGTTGTGTTATTACCAAGGTTAGCCTTTCTTATTTCGAATATGTTGATCATTAGGTAGAGTGTCTTTTCAAATTCAGTGACTTAGTGTAACTCACTTTTTCAGAGAATATAAACAAGTACGAAGGACACAAAGGAGAATTTGTTTATTCGTTGATGGCATGAGAGGTGTACAGGATTAACTGTATGGATATTTTGATAATCGGTTCATGTTGGGTGGATCATTTGGGTTTATTTTCTGTTCAGCGCCGTAAGGTTTAGCAAAATATGAACGGCTCCAGACACTTACCTTTCATTGAAATTGGGACATCCTTTTTGAATTACTTTGACATTATTACTTGTTGGTTTTTAAAAATAACATGGATTTCTGTTGATAATTTGTGTTGTAGATTTTCTAGATCTACAGGAGCATTTGGAGGTCTTTTAGTTTAGCTTGGATATACTTTGGCACACGCAATTATTTCACAAGAATGTATGTCAGTCAGTCACAACAACATAGAACTTCCTACGTACGTACATCATTTCAAGTTGCCATGTCATATTAGCACAGAGATGCAATTGTCACTTCAAATCCCATAGTAGTAAAGGCAGTAGAATTATTAGCAGCAATCGGAAATTTTAGGGTTCTACGACATTATTCAAGAAGTAGAATATAGTGAAATAAACTTAAAAGAAAACGATAAATTGTTGAGGAATTCAGAAGGTTACGATTCGAGAGAACACAAGAATGAATGCACTTGCTCCATTGCAAACGGATTTGAGCCAGATCATTTAAAAGTCTCTAACCATCGATTATTATCATCTCGCGGACCCCAACCAGGTAGTCGACACCTGCCTGCTTGACTCAGTCCACTAATCAATGACCTCATGGATTTCTGCTATGTTTTGGCCTGGACGCCTATAGCTTTCGTCCAACCTATTCCTACACCACAAAATATAGCTCGACGAGGCAGTCGGTGATTAGGCATACGCAACACATGTCCCAACCACCTCAATTGCCATCTTTACCTAGCACCCATTTTCTAATAACACCATTGCTTACTCGGTTGTCCAAGAATGCACGAGCAATGCTGCGGAGACACCTATGATCGGAAATCATCTACCTACGAATATCTTCCACTCTCAATGGCCATGTTTCGTAGCCATAAGTTAGGACGGAGCAACCTGCTGCTTAGTATGCTCGTCCTTTGGTTAGCAAACGGACACCTCACCTACGCCATAAGCGATGGAAGTTGACAAAAGCCAATCGAGCTTTCTCTATTCGTGCTGAGATTTAGTCAGTCACCGGCCATCAGCACTGATGAGACTCCCGAGGTAAGTGAAGCGGTCTACTCGCTCAACTGCTTCACTCCCTACCACTAGTTCAGGTGCCCTTACAAGCCAATCTTGAAGCTTAGGGTGGTCAGAAGACTCTGCATTTTGTCAGCGTCTTCACCAAGTAGGACTATGTCATCGGCATATTCTAAGTCAAACAGTGAATCTCCTGGTCGGTCCACCTCTGAAAAGTAAGAAGAAGCTAATGTTATATCAAAAACCAGATCTATGACAAAATTGAACAAGAATGGGGATAGTGGGCATCCCTGATGGACACCACTTGAAGTAAAGAATTTTGATGACATTTCGCCATAAGCTCTCACTCGACCAGTAGTGTTCGAGTAGAAGGCTTGTATGAGGTTAATGTACTTCTTTGGTACACCTTTTACTGACAGACACTGCCACAGAACCTCACGATTGACAAAGTCGAATGCAGCTTTAAGGTCGAGAAATACTTTTATTGTGGGGTGTCTGAACATGTACCTTTGTTCTATGACTTGACTCAGTGTGAATATGTGGTCTATACATCCACGTCCAGATCGAGAACCAGCCTGGTTTCTTTGAGTCTGCTCTTCACGAGCACTAGTTAGGCGTCCAAGTATTATAGAGGCTAACAATTTGTACACTATATTAGTCAAACTGACTTCTCTGTGATAATCAACAAGAGGGCTTTTTTTTATAAATCGGAACAATCAGTGATTGAGACCAGTCGGATGGGATTTCGTCCAGTTGCCAGATTCTACCTAAGATCCCAGTCAATCTAACTGCTAAAACTGGACCACCATCCTTAAAAACTCAGGGTTAGAATGCATGACAATCTTCTAATCTTAGTCTGTAGGAATTTTATCGCTTATTTCGAGAAGTGTTTGTTGTTTTCTAAAATACTTTCTATGCGATCTAAAGATTTATTGTAATTCTGTTGTTGTGCTAACCCATAAATGTTCACCCAATTTATTTTTATTCAACAAAGAAAATTTCCAGTTTAGTATATTTTCAGCAATATTCATTGGAAAATTATTGAGTCGTCATTACATTTCCTGTTCCTTTTTCTTCCGTTCATCTGATGTAATGATGTTTGACGCTCGCATGAATATATCTAGTGCCGAAGAGATTTTTACATTGAGTGGATGTAGTGAGTTGAAATCAGTATTTCGATTTTAGTGAGCCCGCTTTCAGTAGATGGTTAAATTTGCACTTTCATTTTTTGACTTAATAGTCTAAAAGTGGTTCGTTAAATGAGTACAAGCAAACATACCGTTCAACTTTGATTTACACTTATTGTCAGAGAGTGGCTGAAATTTTATGGCTAAGCATAGGTATATGATCATAGAAAGGTCACAAATACATGTTTTTAACTTGAGCTAAGCAGTATAAATCTTCAAAACAAGTGTTATGAAAACTTTTGTCCCTATAAATTTTACAAGCAGGGGAAATCATCTTTTCCATATGTTCACCAAACCTAATTTTACGTTAAAATTTTTTGGCTTTGTTAGTAAATAAGTTTGATAGCAGACCGACTAGTTATATACTTGCTTGCAATTGTGGTATATAGGACTTGATATTCTCTATTGTTGCATTATGGCGAAATATGACTGCTGATAAAAGTGCACATATTGATTGCTAGGTGCAACATATCAATGTACTCGTAGAAGCACTGAATTTACAAACTTGAAGTTCACTATATTGCTTATAAATATCTTTATAACTTCTAGGGTATTTAAAAGGACATTACTGAGTTAACCAAAGAAAGTTCTTTGTCATGATTAAGTATCTCATGTAACCACAAGCATAGTTATTCAACTGAGTAGGTAAGAGCAAGATATCAATGAAACAAACTTTACTGATGTAACTCATAGATGGGAAGTGAAGGCTGTGGTTAGTCGGTGATATGCGACATGGAACTTAACACATGCTTACGTCACTTTAAGTCTTCTTACCCAGTGACATGAAATTATCAGGAAAAATACAAAAGTAGAAGCGGTGATCACTGTATCAGTGGTGGTAGCAAACATCTGACAAAATATCAACGCATGTGGGGCACTGCAAACGATTTTGAACTATGCTACTCAAAGCCTCTAACCACTGGTTAAAGGACCTGGCATGAAATAGCATAATACTCCTTTTACCACGTAAAATATGAAAGGGAACAAAAATCTTTACAATTTTAGTTGAATATCCTTATGATGTAAAGTTTCGTCAATGAATCAACCACGTGAACCATTAACTGAATGATAGTTCTTCATCATGCACATTAGGAAACCATTTTTAACTGTTAAGTAGCTTGGTTTTAGCTTTTTAACCTGTGGATTGATTTCATTTCGGTCATTTGAAGGAATGGAGTGAATGTTTGACTTTTTAACTGTATTGTTAAAATAAATTCACTGATAACAGCTACTATACTTACTTATCGTTTCTATTGCTATTCTCTTCTCCTTTCAGAGACAGTTTATCCACTAAGGAATTTGATTGAAAGGGATCACAGTCATCTAGGTTCATTAGATTTTTCCATTCTGTAAGTCTTTCTCGTAGTTTATTTAAGTCAAAAAATGGTCCTTCTTCTTGTTCATTAATTAAATTATCTTTAAATTTTTCAATCATATGAATAAAAGTTGATATGCCTAAGTCATTTAAATCAATTAGTTTGATTAAATTACGTTCTTGAATTGTCAGTATACTTGATAATCTCTTCAAGATAGACAGGAAGATAGACAAAAATGAATGAAGAACTTGTGAAAAATAACGAAAATGTATTCACAATACATACTGCAGAATAAATTAAATAAGAATATTCGACAAACAAACTATATGATCAACTTTATGCTTTGATTCATTACATACCTACCTTAATCAAGTCAAAAGACTACTTTAAATGAATTTCTTCTGAATCAGTTATATACTTACTTAAAATATATATAATTCAGATGCTAATGACTAGTTTTAATTACTATAAATATGATGATCTAGGATCGACAATCTAGAGTTGGACATACGTAAAGTTAGAACGTAGTTAAATTTCGTATGTAGTGGAGAACTTCTTGTTTAGAATAGTACCATGAGAATGGCATTTTGGATAGTGATTAAGAATAGAATCTAAGATATGCGTTTCATTTTATTTCAGACTCATTAACTTGATAGGCTTTTATTGTGGTGATGACGGACTTCAGATATGGTAAGAAGTTTGTTGTACATTTCGCGCCTAATGATTATCGAAAAAGACTGATAAATGTACTCAATATTGAAAAAATTCGTTTAGAATGCCCAGGTATGGCCTAAATGCATCCTTATAGAGCCTTAATAAACGGAAAGAACTAAAAACCAAAAAAATATAAGTCGGGAATAAAGGCTTCAATTGTTCATTAAGGTGAGCAAACTGTTGACGAACTTATTAAGGTCAATAAAAACCACTCAAGAACGAGGTTAACAGAACAAACTAGGGGTCAAACGTGAAGAAATTTGAAAACTTGACTTCCATCTGAAGTTTGTGCTAATGATTTTGTTCAGGAGAACAGTAAAAGCTCCACAATCGAAACATCCGGCTCAGAGAACGAGACTCCGTCACAACTAGTAAGTTTCTTTTAGTTTTGGTCAAAAACTGGAATTACCTAAAATATATTTCTGGTAATCCATAAAGATATGAAATCGGTTTTGCCTCAGTATAGTTTATCAATGATCATTTGTACATCGTTTATATGAATCCACAATCTTCAAAGAAGGTTTCACTTAGCACTAGGGGAATACTTTATAAGAATCCAGCATCAGAAACAACCAAGCATTAAAAAGTCATCGGATAATAATTGAGTACCTAAAAGCAGTGATTTCTTTGATAAACTGATAGAAATTAAACTTCATAACGATTTGTTTTCCCTTTTAAAAAGAACGTATTACAAAATTCATGAAACTTACAGAAAGAATATCTTCTAAATCGTTCAAATCGTTTGTTAAATTCAACCAATTAAATAATTCTAACGACTGTTGTTTATTTAAATTTTCCTTCATAAATACAAATAACTCATGAAATTCATCTGTTGCTAATTTAAGTAGTAACTTTAAATCATACAAATCGATTTCAGGTTTTATCATTTTAAAAATTTGTTTGTAAAATTTTGGTTGTGCTACATTTTGTGAGCTACAGTTTAATCTTAAAGTTGAAATAAAAGCTCCTCTAGGTTGTTTAAACACTTTAGTATGTATAAGTTCATTTTGAATGGAATTTTCATTGTCTTTGATAATTTCATCTTCTTTGTTTTCATTCTCATCAATCTCATCATATTGACATGTGTTCAAACCAATTTGATTAATTAATTCGCACCTTTTCACTTTCCACAATTCATTTATTTTACTTAACAGCTAGAAAAAATTTCAGTAAAGAATTTGAGAATAAATATAGCATTTCCAATTTGTAATATATCATATGAATATTTATATTATTAATATCAGTGTGCATTGTTACGATTTCTAACTATATTATCTGAAACTCTCACCTGGAAACCTCGGGTACCTTCCTTTCATCTTTTAAATTGATTTCACTGAATTATACTTTTTTTCATTATCTTTAATACTACTTCTACCTCTAGTACTATTGGGATTTGAAATGACAGTTTCATTTCTGTAGGCTTATGGGAGTATGGCAACTTGAACTTATTTATGTACATACTGAGTTCTACGTTGCAGTTAACGGATTAAACTTAGTTGTTTTTATGAGTATAGTTTTATTAAACATAAAATGAGGATTTATGTTGACTAGACTGGTTCATTCTAGGGGAGATCTTAATCATCAACAAACAACATATATACATCAAGTTGATGCCAAGATCAAAAACAATTTGTTGCAAGTCATTTATATTCTCGAAGCTATATATAAGATGTACTTCATTTTCATGAGTCGGAGCTAGAATCTAGGCTATAAAGTGGCGAGCTTTATACTTATAATATAGGGAGCACTAAAAAAAGAATATAATTCAGAAAATTATATGCAGCCTATATCTATTATAAATCTTCCACAAATTACGGAATCAGCAAACGAGTTTAATGCAGTTGAAAAATTAGATGAATTTCGCAGACAGAGTGAAGACCCATACGAACTCAATTTCATGAATTCTAGTGTTAAACTACGTTTTAACAACATATAAACTATATGCATTAGTCAATTTTATAGACTATTGTAGCACCCGACCGTAGCTGCTACATTGACGCGGTGGTGGACTTGCCTATAGTGACTCGACCGAGCCAAATTCTCTGGAACATATGTTCCTGTAGGTTCTGCCATGACGGGAAGGTCAATTGGAGAATGGTAAGACTAAAGGTAGCAAATTAAGGTCTGAAGAAATAGTCAGACTGCTAACTGCAGAGGGTATGACATCAGTAAGGTGCTTCTCTTGGACAACCACCATCTGCAGCGATGCTGCCTTCTTACAAGGAAAGAAGAGGTTAGAATAGGTCAATCCTAAAAATGTCAAACCTCACCTTACATCACGGATTTCCGTGTCCGGCGGTAAGGCATTTTAAAGAAGAGCAGAGCTATACTTTAAATACTTCTGATAAAAGGGTGCTCATGACCGGCCTCAAGCAGTTGTCCCTTTGGCTCTGCATTCACACTCCCAGATCTCTAAAACAAACACTATTCTACCTTCCTTTTCAGGAAGTTTCATTCGACGGTGTGGGCAGCCAGGAAGTCGTAACTGCACACGAGACCAAATCGGTTGTATGATACAACCTCTTAATAACTCTCCTATCTCCACGACCAACTCTTCTATCATTCCTTTGCCACCTCGAGCCGTTGATACAAATGTTCCGAGTTCACGAAACATAATTTCTGGTTTCCTGAAAACCCGTTCTAAACTACATGTCGGAGCCTTCATTGTTCAAACCTTGTACAAAATAGGATAACAGGCTAGAACTTTAAGACCTTACGCCATTGATGTCTGTTGCGTCCCCGAAACGCGCATACAGGATTCTAATAAAACCAGTCATTTGATTTCACCTTGTCCAGATAGAAAATCAAATCGGTTTACGCTTCTTGTATCTGAAAGCCCTGCTACTGCCTCCCGTGGCCACGCTGATGTAGGTATAGCATTGATTTCTAAGGCAGAACTAGCCCACTGAGACCGGATTCCAGTAGACAGTCACTTATCCGCTGTCTGACTAAATGGGACGGTAAGGACTTGTAAAGATAGGGACATTCGCCGTTGCCTTTTTGTTGTCTCTGCCTAAGCTCTCACTGACTGCAGCTCGGACGAGATAACAGAAGAGTTTTACAAAAAGCCTCTAGAACTGCTCTGAAGTGTTATGCGCGTTGATATAGTAATAATGGCTAATTACTTTAATGCTCAATTAGGTAGATGAAGTGAAAAGGAAAGACACCTGGCCGGATCTTATCCTATCGTGGCTAAAAGATCAGATAATGGAGACCGTTTGCTGCAACTATGCTCAGATGATCGCTTATTTCTAGCAAGTACTAACTGTAAGCATGAAGAAAAACATCTCTTGATATGGCGACCCTCAAAACCGACCCAAATGGATCACGTCGCTGTGAGCCATCGGTGCAGAGGCTCCATTGGAGAGTGTCACTCGTTTAAATCCATATCATGCTGTAGTGCGGACGTGTATTTGTTTGAGACTTACCGGACGTAGGAAAGACATAGCAAGGAAACCGCTTAGGGTTGTACGTAATAATAGCATAGCTAAGAATACATTTCAAGAGCAACTAGAAAAACAGTTAGGCGGCCATGTAAGTGATTACAATTTCGAGGCAGCTTGGCGTGATATACTAAAAGCTGTGGAAACAGCAGTGATATCTGCTAGTAAGGTAAACCATAAGGTTAGGGAGAAGCCGTGGATTTCAGTAACATCTACCGAACTGATGGATGCTTGAAAGCTCATCCCGCCTGGATCTGATTTCAGACCTGAACGTTGCTGTATAGACCAGATATTCACTCTTCGTTAGGTCCTGTAACATAGACACACATTTAGGCGTCCAACAGTTGAGCAGTTGAGCATGTTAACCGCTCCACATCATTAGCGCTGATGGCCCGTTAGGTGACAAAATCTCAGCACGGATACGGAACGCTCGACTATCTTTTGCCAACTTGCTTCATTTATGGCATAGGCGATATATCCGTCTGCTAACCGAAAGACGAGTCTATATAAAATATTGTTGAATTACTCATTAAAAATTATTCAAATTTTGAAATTGAATAACGGATGAAAATGGTAACTAACTTTTTGTGCTGTTCCTAAAATATCAGTTAGTTGAACAGTAGCGCGCATTGCATATTCTGAATTTCTATTTCTATCCAAATAAGAAGGCAAAATTGAACTATTTACTTACATACAAAGTTAATTTTTGATAGAACAAATACATTCATTTTCAAAAAGATTATGAAAGTTTGAGCTGCTTTGAAATAGCAGAATATAAACTATGTGACTACATGTAATACAGTTAAAATGAACTCTCACTTTTGAGTAAGCAAATGTTTGCTAGATATAATTGAGCAATATCAATCATTTTTTAACATAGTAAATATTTAATTGTTTTGCCGTGTTTAAATTACTAAGCATTGATACATGCATTTAGTTTGGACGCAAAACATCTAGTATGAGTTATTACTCCTAGGGACTCGATCATTGTTTCAAAAAAAGAGAATTGTTGGTTTTAAATTTGGATGAAGTTTCTATACTGACACTGAGGTCATTCACATAAGGGTCTGTCATAAAATCTCAGCTGGTAAAATGAACAGTTTTCCACAAATTTATAGAATTTATGCCTGTGATTATCATCCATTCATAAAAATCATTAACTGCGCCTGAAGCCTCTCTGGGGTTACTGTCAATTCCAAGACCGGGTAAAGGTGAAGGGTTGAGAATAGGATTGGCAACCCCCATCCCGTGCAAAAATAACTCACTAAAAAAACACTAGCCAGAAAACATAATTCAAACTATTTTAACTCTGCCCTGAAAGTTTGAAGGTCTTTATTCATAACAGTTATGACGTCTAATAATGAAAGCCGAGTTCCTTCAGAAGTCACAAGGCCGGTGCCACATCTCACAACCAGATCAACCATTCATTTGGGAACATGGAATATTCGTACATTGCGAAACACCGGGAGAGTCTTCCAAGTTGCTGCAGAAATGAAAAGATACAGCCTGGTGGTACTGGAAACAGTGAATCACATTGGACGCAAGTGAAACAACAAAGACTAGCCTCAGGAGAGATGCTAATATACTCCAGCTATCAACTAGAAAATATATCACACAAAGAGTTGCACCAATGTGGTCCGAAAAAGCACAAAATGCAGTGATAGGATGGATATCTTATGAACCCTGGATCATCAAAGTATCCTTCAAAACAAAGAAAGACGGCACAACAACGAGGTTGATGAAGATCCATTCTATGAAAGGATGTAGTGTATCGACAAGCAATACGCAAAAAAGGATCTGACCATACTAAAATGATAACTAAACGTGATAGTTAGAACAGACAAATATGGATGTGAAGATATTATGGGACGACAGAGAATTAGCGTAAGCAACGAAAACGGTGAAAGGTTTGCAACCCGATGTACCTTCAACAAACTGAACAAACAATACCGCATATTCTCACACAAACGAATACGCAAAGCTACATGGGCTTCACCAGATCATGCTACACAGAAACAAATCGACCATGTCTGCATCGATAAAAATTTCAGAATGAACATGGAAGACACAAGAGCAAAGAGAGAAGCTGATATTGCCTCAGATCATCACTTGCTAGTCACCAAGTTGAACATGGAACTAGAGAAGCACCGGACCACTGGTTGAACAGAATCACAGCCTTTCTTCGGGATACTGGCAAACTCGACGAATTCAAGAGAGCTCTCAGCAATAGATTCTAAACGTCTCACGATCTACCCATTGAAATGGAAACTACAATGGAGAACAACTGGAAAGGGATCAAAGAAGCAATCACTTCAACATGTAATGAGGTTTTGGGTCGCAAAAAGCACCATCATAAGAAATAAATCTCTGTTGATATTCTGGATAAGATTCAAGAAAGGGAGAACCAGAAGACAGCAATCAATAAAAGCCGAACAAGCTCATATATAGCTATGGAATGGACCGAATACACAGAAACAAAGTAGTAAGTGAAGAACAGCATCAGAGCTGACCAATGCAAATATGTGAAAGATCTAGCCACGACAGTAGAGAAGTTTGCAAGAGAAGAAAACATGGAACAAATACATGATACAATGAAGAGGCTTGCCGGAAAGCATAGTAAACCGTAATGACCAGTGTAAAGCAGGGAAGGGAAAGTAATCACCAACACTGACCAACAGCGGAACACATAGATAGAACACTTTGAAGAACTCTTGAATACACCAGTCTAACTGAATTCACCTAACATCGAAGCGACACCTAAGGACCACCAAATTGAAGTTAACCCATCAGCAATTAGCGAAATCAGTATGGCCATTAGACAAATCAAGAGCGGCAAAGCAACAAGATCAGACAACATTCCAGCTGAGTCACTGAAATAAGACGTAGAATCAACTGCAAAAATACTTCACATCCTCTTCAACAAGATTTGGGATGAGGAACAAGTACCACCAGACTGGAAAGAAGGATACCTTATCAAAATACCAAAGAAAGGCGATCTCGGCGAGTGTGGGAATTACAGAAGTATCACTCTTCTCTCAATACCAACAAAATTCTTCAGCAGAATGTTATTAAACAGAATGAATGACTTCGTAGACGCTCAACTTCGAGAACATCAGGCTGGATTTCGTAAGGATCGATCGTGAACTGACCAAATTGCAACATTACGAATCACTGTGGAACAATCCGTTGGATGGAAATCACCACTATACATCAACTTTATTGACTATGAGGAAGCATTTGATAGTGTGGATAGGACAACACTATGGAGGCCTCTTCGACACTACGGCGTGTTTGAGAATATAGTCAACATCACACGGAATTCTTATGATGGATTAAACTGCAAAATTGTGCACGGAGGTCACCTGACAGACTCGTTTGAGGTTAAGAGTGGTGTCAGTCAAGGTTGCTTACTCTTATCCTTTCTCTTTCTCCTGATGGTCGACTGGATTATGAAGACGTCAACATTTTCAGGGAAGCACGGAATACAGTGGATAGCCTAGACGTGGTTGAACGATCTGGACTCCGCACATGTTTTGGTTCTTCTATTGCACGTGCAGCAACAAATGCAAGAGAAGACGATCAGTGTAGCAGGAGCCTCAGCAGCAGCAGGTCTCAACGTACACAAAGGGAAAAGCAAGATACAACAAAACATGCGCCAACCAAATCACCCTTGATGGAGATGCCTTGGAGGACGTAAAAAGCTTTACATATCTGGGCAGCATCACTGACGAACATGGTGGATCTAATGCAGACATGAAGGCGGAGATTATTAAAAAAATGGCAGCATTTTTTCAACTGAAGAACATCTGGGACTCAAAACAGCTATCGACCAACACCAAAATCAGAATTTTCAATACAAACGTCAAGACGGTCCTACTGGAGAACTATGAAGGCAATCATCCAGAAGACAGAAGTATATATTAATATTTGTCTACACGGGCGCCAGGCAAGAGATTTCCCAAACCCAATTTGTACTTCACCTGTGATGTGATAAAACGGCTTACTGTTATTTTCGTTTAACATTATTCCAGTTTCGACCCAGAATGATAATAATATTTGTTTTTATTTTGTGTGACATTTTACTGAGTTTTTTCATTTAGTCTATTTCAGTGTTATATTTATCGAAGATATTATATTAATTGTATTGAATTAAGATGAACTATGCTCACCATGATACGAAACATGTAATTTTGCTACTATTTCATATACGTGACTTTTTTCTGAATAACAGTCAGTGGGTGTACTAATCAATACATAAATGCGTGTATTTTTGACTAGGGTCGTCGTGTTGGCATCAAATAGCAACCATCTCTTGTCTAAGTTAATTCATAAAATACCGATAATTTAATGCTATTTCAAACTAATTTTTCACTCCCGTATATGTCTATACTGCCACAATCATCTCTTCTCATTAGAACTTCAAGGATTCAGTGTTTAGTGATTTCCTTGCAAGCTCAGGACTACAGTTTAAATGAGGTAGGTTTGTGTAGATTAGTTTAATTCATAAGTGACATTCATCACGAACTGACATTATCTACAGATTAAAGGTGTGTACTGTTGATGAGTCACGTTTGAGATCGAAACAGTCATTTGGTACTCACGGTTTTTTAATGATGACGACACGTACCCATATATTTGAATGAAAATAACATTTAAAAGGCCGGTTTTAGATTAATGATATCATCGAAAATAAACAGATAACCATTTCGTAAGTCTAATGTTATATTTATTAAGCATGACGATGACGCAACAGATGTTTTTAAAAAAAAACAGCTTTTAGAATTAAATGATAATATGATTGTTATTAGTAGAATATAACCATCACATCAAACGTACTTTACATCAGCCTCAAATGTTGGATGTAGATATATTTCGAATTTTTCTATTTTTTTTAACAAGTTACTCAAGTGATATTTGGATGACATAAATATATATTCCAGATGTTCACAAAAGCGCATAACTCCTTCTGAACATGCTGCCAACGTTTCAAATAACTGCGTTATCAATTTCCTCACCAATAGAAATGATCTGTCATACATGGTCAACCACTTATCCTTGGACATTTGAAGTTGATCTATAATAGTCACCATATTTCTATCACAAAACTGAATGTATATAAGATCGAATTATAGTTAGGAAAAATAGGACAGTAAAAGTTCCATCGAGTAGATATAAGCTATCAAATTTGCTTGTCAGATGATATTTGTAAACACAACAATATAAATGTAAAATTTGAAGAAACTTTGTTCTAGTAGCATTATGCTCACTGTTAGACTTGTATTTCCTGATTTTCCGGTTCTTTCTACTTCCAAGTGGTCATCTAGTTGGTAAAGTTACTTCTAAACGTTCAGTTTTAGAAAATATGTCAAAGCCATTAATGAGCTGTCCATTTAAAGTAACGCCAAAATGAATCGCTTAAACCTAGTAGACCCGAAAAATACCCACATTTAAGTTTCTGTTTTCGGTATAGAGTGCACTGTGATTCGATACATTACCTGCATCGCTGTTTTAATTGCACTATAATATAACAAGACAAAACCTAGATTTATTCTGAATCAGCGTTCGGAACGGCTTTTAGCGGCAGCGCTGTAAACAACGCCACGTTGTCTGGCGGGACCACGAAGAAGTAGACGCAGCCACATCACCCAGAATGCTCCATTTATGCAAGTCACCTAATATACCCATTCAATTGGATGACGAGGCATTTGGCTTCCTTAAGAGAGTCATAGTTACTCTCGCCAAAGGTATATATGATCTCGAAAGTAAATCAAAACGATACACGAATATATTGCTTTTCTTATGATTTATTTACAGTCATATGTGCATAGATTTAGGTGAGTAGTATTTACTTACTTACTTACGCCTGTTAACACTAATGGAGCATAGGCCGCCGACCAGTATTCTCCAGCCTACTCTATCCTGAGATCCCCTTTCCAGTTCTGTCCAATTTTCGTTCATTCTAGACACTTCTATCTCCATTTCTCTAAGTAATATGTTCCTTGGTCTTCCTCTTATCTCCTGTCATTAAGAGTTCAAAGTGGGGGCTTGTCTTTTGACGCAGTAGGGTGCTTTCCTCATTGTGTGATTTATTCACTTCCACCGAGTCTTTCCGGCTGCCTTCTCTGCTGGAATCTGCTTTGTTCTCTCCCACAGTAGGTTTTTGCTTATGGTGTCTGGCGGAGGAATCCGAAGTATTTTGCGTAGACAACTGTTGATGAATACCTGTATCTTCTGGATGATGGCTTTCGTGGTTCTCCAAGTTTCATACAGTAGAACCGTCTTGACGTTTGTATTGAGAATTCTGATTTTGGTGTTGGTTGATAGCTGTTTTGAGTTCCAGATGTTCTTCAGTCACTTCAATTCAATGCACAATTGGTCTGTATGATGCGATTCTGAATTTATTTCATAATGATATAATTATGGAGTCTTATAATTGAAACATGACTGCTGGCAATTCTAGTCTCAATGTAATTTCCATTCCAATATAATTGCCAATGGTTCTGGTCGCTGTGTTATTAAGAACTCATTATAGCTATAAGGAGTCCTAATGAAATTATTAGTTCACATGTTTATGTCTGTCCAGGTAGCCAGATTTCAGTGAAAAAGAAAGATGAAATCTTTGGTGTAAATCTCAAAATATTGGAGGTAACAAAACTAGTAATGGTTATAGAAAATGTATGAAAAATATGACTAAAGAAAGTATACTTTGTAAAATTCGAAAATTATTAGACAATTTATAAACCTGGGATCTTGGGGAAGACAAAGAGTAAATGTACCTGTTTAGTTGTGAACGATTTTGGGCCATATTACCAAAATTGCAACCTAGTAACTACTTAATATTGTTTGAATTCAATATATATCTCACACAAGAATAGATAGGGCAAAGATAATACTGATAAACTGAAAGAATATGAACGCTGAAATCTATCCTTCTTTACTTGACAGTCTACCGGATAAAAACCAAATAAATCAAGTAATGTGAACTATACGAAATAACTAGAAACACCAAGTTTGCTAGTCAAAAAATTAATAAAATGTGAGTTAAGAATCAGTCTACAGATAGTGTCCTGAATTTAAGTGATGTAGGCAGCTCCGATGCAGCTAGATGATCTACTTTTACTATCACAAACTCAGCAGAATATGCAGGAGATCACCCGTGTTGCTTTATCCTCCGCAGCAGTAGTTCTTGACATACACACGTAACATTATTGGAGCAACTTAAGAACATGTGAAAACAATCAATAGCTGGGAGGCATCATCGATGTACACGGTGAATTTGATACAAGTATCAAAGCTCGCGTTGAAAAATCAAGGGCAATATTTTCAGATTTGAAGAACATCTGCAACTCAATCAACTGTCAGCCAACACCAAGGTCGCAACTTTCAATACAAATATCAAAACAGTTCTACTGCACAAAGCGGAAACTTGGGGAACCAAAAAAGTCATATTTTAACTTATACAGGTATTTATTAGTTGTCTACGCCAGATAATGAGGGTCCTGTTAGACATCACAGGAGCAACCTACTGCGAGAGAGAACAAAGCAGACTCTGGCTGAGGAATCATTTCGAGAAAATAGCTGGAGATGGATAAGACACATGCTACGGAAATCACCCAACCGCATCACAAGGCAAGCTCTAAATTGAAATCTTCAAGCTCAGAGGAAGAGAGGCAGGCCAGGGGACACACTACTCTGAGAATTGGAGGCAGACATGAAAAGAACAAATAGCGGTTGGGAAGAATTTGAAAGTCTCAGAATGGAGTTGCTTGGAGAATGCTGGTTGCTGGTCTATGCTCTGCTGGGTGTGAGTATGATGCAAAAGTACTTTTCTCAAAACTTCACACATTAACGATGTTCAGATACTTGCCACTGATTGCAGCAAAATCTTTCGAAAAGAAGTGGGCTTCATGAGTCAGGTATTTATCTTAAACTAAATGAATGTACCTCCCAATCTTATATCTTCTTCTACTAATATTTATCGATGAGATAAGTCTTGTTGTTTTATCGGATGTGGCTTATTCAGTTGTCGGTTGATTGTTTTAAACACACTTAAACCCAGCTATGAGTTCTAAACAGCATACTTATTGTCTCTCCGAAGTTGGGTTTTACTTTTTGATACATTGGGTGTGCCTGATAATCAGCAACCATCAGATTAGAATTGTTTCTGCGATCGAAAGACTAGGTACAGTATATTGTGTTTTGAATGAAAGTCATTTAGTAGCACTGTGTTAGATACATTACTACATAGGGATAGAAAACTGATCCATGAGACTATGAGTTCTCATTGACTAGGGATGTTGAGAGATTTTCTGAGCGTGGCTAGCTAGCTGCGACTTGCTTTAACGTGAAATACTTGTTAGTGAATATTTTGTGTTACTCTAAGTCATGAGCTACTGACGATTTGAAATGTCTATTTTATAATTATTGCATCTTTTTTGAAACATGTTCTCAGGTTAGTCTTCCAGTTATATATATATATGAAGGTCAAGCATGCAGCTAACTAACCAACTTTACTAGACTGAGGACCATACCAAAGCAATGGAAATTTTCTTCGGCCAGTACTCTTTGATCACTCTCGGTTCTTTGAAGGTGAATTTTATACAATTTATGAACATCGAATACTTCTTTTGCGTTTGCTTCTAAAGCTGAAGTAGCCTGCTTAATCTTTTAAATTAACATCATTGTAACAATTAAAACAATTTTACATGTAAATTAAGATTATTTATAGATGAGTGAAGTTTTTTATTGTTTAAACTCGCTTCTGTAAGACACCTTGAGAAGAAATGCATTTTATCAAGAGCAATACTTCAAAGAGTTCTCTAATTTTTTCTTATAACGCAGGTCTTCCACATTTTTCAGGCAAAGTTCTTGTCTCCCTGAGATCACAGCTGAATACAGACTAACACTACTAAAAATATCATGTCTCTTACTTCTCACACACATTAATTAAGTTATCGAAAATATTACCATAAATGTCATGCAAGCTGGAAAGTAATGCCTTGCGATTGCTATGCTCAGGACAAATCTACTCGTAGAGAAATTTATTTGTGGACAAACCTCGCTTATTACTTCCTTGAAAATGTTTTGAATATCTCTTAATGCCACGGAACTGTCTTCCTTGAAACTTTGTAATTGCTCCGCATTTCTAATGGGTGAGAACTCTCTTATATGCTTGTTCTGAACTATTCTAGAGAGTTTTTTAGACAAATATACAGTATAGCTTCTGTTGCTGATGGTATAAAATTACGAAACTGAGATGATCATACTTTAAATAAGACCTTGTTTTACAGGAAATAATATTCCTGAGAAAATATTACATGAACAAAATGCCTGCCTAAGTGGAGAGTCAGATTTCAATGCGATTTCATATGGTCCTTCAGCTGCAGTCATGGACACGGTTGTAGACTGTGGTAATTTTTCTGATATGCTGCTACCCCCAGACTTTATCTTTGTTTTAGAACCTATGACGCCTTCTAAAAAAATAGTCGATTTTTATTTAAAATTCTCAAAACCGACTTCTAGGTCCTTGAAAAAACTCTCTCAATATGTCATTTGGGATAAAATCCATGTTTAAACATGTGACTGATTGGTTACTATGTCTGCAAGGTCAAAATAAATCTGTATATCCAATATCCGTTAGACATTGTTCGAGATATAACTCCAGTTCTTAATCATAGATTCCTCAATATAACATATCTTTACATCTAAAATAAACTATAACTTTAGGTTTTCAATATTGATACATTCTCTGTGTTTGTGTTTCGTGTCGGATGATCGACTGAGAATTTTGTAATTGCTCTACTTTCGTAATTTTACTTTCCATGCTATATGTATTTGCAGTATTTTCCGTATCAGGTCTTTACGTAGTGTCACCGTCCTGACCTCGTAATCAAAAAGTCATCGGTCAAAATGCATTCAATTTTGGGATTAAATTCATGGTAGAGCATGCTGATGCACTGGTATGTTTTCATCAGTGATAATAATCCAGGAGAGTGGTTACCATGTTCTCACTAATCCTTATCCTCGATGACCTCAGAGTGTTTTGCTTACCTGTTTTAGGCGAAAATCTCTTACTCTGATAGTAGACTAGCTAATTTGTCTCATCTATCGATCTCTTCTGTTAGTAAATTCATAATAAGTGTCACTAGCGTTATCTCAATTCAATAGCTAACCACTCTAATTCCATCTGGTTCTGGTAAAATATACCTTTAGCAAATCAAATATTGAAATTTTAAGATTGTTTTACAGAATTATTCGGTACATTCATGTTTTTTATGACTGATTATATTAACTCGATTTTCCCAGAATGATATTACCAAATTTTTCTATAGACATAAGAAGTTTCGGAAAAGAATTAACTTGTTTCTACTATAATCACACATACATTCATTGGATAAAATTGCTGTATGCAGTTGTACCTCCTTAATTGATAGGACTGTTTACAACATTCACACTTCATACCATAGTAATACAATACTACCTTTGTGTCTTACGTAAAATAGCTACAGTATGAAATGCACGTAACATCGTACTCGTTAGAATATAATTCTATCGCAGGACATGAGACAAAATCAACTGAGAACAGTTTCTGATCTGACAATCATCTTCAAGGAGCTTAACATCAAAAAGGAGGAGGACTGCGTTATTGAACTGAATGCGATAATAGTGAAAATGATGAGTTCATCCAACAAATCTGTATGTGTAGAATCCACAGCCAGATTTGGATTGAGGAATAACTGTCTAGGTAGGTTAGATACGCGTCTCGCCCACTTGAAATCAACACAAGCGATTGGGTAAATAACGGTTCTAGTATTCATCATAAATATAACTATACGTCATTACCTAAACGATATCACCCCTCACTTATTCCACCAACAATTGTTCAATTATTCAAATCAACAACGACAAATAAATGATATTCTATTCTTCCTGGATAGTTCAGATTCGTTCGACAGATAATATTTGGTTGCTTTATAACACAGAGTGTTTCCTGTTCTGGAAGAGTGCTTCAATTCACAATCAAAATGCACAATTTCAATCAAAGCAAGCAACACAATAAAAAAAGACGAATCAGTATGGCTGCCGCCATGATTAAGTATCAGCCTAACCAACATAAATGCAGTTCAGAAAGAAACATAGAAACTCAGTAAAGGCAGAGGAAATAGAAACTATAATAAAATGCAAATATTATCATCTCAAATGGCATCGAACAGATTAACAAAATGTAGAACTGAAGGGATCAATAAGAACGAATTACAAATATATATAGCGAGGGAATTCGAAAAACAAAGCCTTCAAAAATGGATTATAGTATGCGCCAGAACATTTGATCGATCTCAGGCTCTTCATGATCGAGAATGAATAGCCGTTAAATGATATTTATGTCATTGTGTAAATAACATTCCAAGGGCTCGTTACGTGTTTTCTTGGGCCCTTATTTTCAACCTTATTCTGGCTTCGCTATCTTGTCTTGCCAATCTATGAAGTGCAAATTTATTATTTTGAGATGAGACTGAAGGTTATCACCTGATATCTAAAACAGTATGATAAATTTAAGCTATCAAGGCGATAAGATTAATTGGGTATCAAGATACTTCACATTCTTCAGTTACTTTTTGAACAGTAAAAATTTTCTGTCCTACTTCACACTTCAGCTTTTCATTTTTAGTTCAGACCCCTTCCATTGTCATGATTCACTACACAGCATTTAGGTGCTCCAATCTATCAGCACTTTCTTCAATGATAGTTTACTTATTAGGAGAGAAGTTAGTTTGAGCTCTGCATATTATTTATAAGTACCTGAGTTTGTTTGATTGCCGCTCTTCTATCCCTTTCTTATCTTTTAAGCATCACCGTTATAACACTCAACCATAAATATTTTAGTTAAACCTGGATCATATATGCAATTGCCAAGGTCCCAGTTCGCACGAAATGTCATTTTCGCACAGTTTATTGCAACTATAAACTACTTGTTCACTTCTGCCATAAAAACCAATTTATTTAGGAGTTGGTTAATCTGCATGAATGTTTTGATACATATTAAACTATCGAATAAATGTATTAACTCTACATTAGTAATTCACCACTTGTAGGCTAATGTTGTTCATTATTTATTGCATCTGTAAAAATTGTGCAAACTTGGTTTGAACAGAGAAATGAGAAGACATATTTTGTGAGATAGCACCATTTCGTGCTTTCTCGTCAGTCACATACAAGCAACATGTTATTTGTGTAAATACAGTTTTGAAGATAAGGTCAAAATTTCTTATTTAGCATGACATTCACTCACTAGAACCATGGTAAACAAAGGTCAACATACAGTTGTTTTTGAACACGTAAAGTTGGACTTTTCCGACCAATCAAGATAGCTTCGAGTAGTTTCAGTGTGTGTGGGTTTTGATGACATGTCACAACTCTAAAGGCTGATTTTGGGCCAATTTGATGACCACTCATCATAGATGTTTTGTAATGAACGAGGCTGGGTTTCTTGATCAATTTTGAGATGACGGGCTATGTCGATGAATCATGGATTTGACTGACCATTTTGGAATATGTTCCCCTATCCTGTCTTCCAATCGGCGATCTGTCCTCCCTAAGTAACTTTCTCCGCAGTCCAACTTTACGTGTTCAAAAACAACTGTATGTTGACCTTTGTTTACCATGGTTCTAGTGAGTGAATGTCATGCTAAATAAGAAATTTTGACCTTATCTTCAAAACTGTATTTACACAAATAAACATGTTGCTTGTATGTGACTGACGAGAAAGCACGAAATGGTACTATCTGTATCTAAACATAAAAATAATTAGATTAGTACAATAAATAAGGAAATTACAGTTACCAAATGAAAGGACCAAACATACCGGCCAATATAGCGTGTCTTATGGAAAATGAATAAAACTGAGTCACATCAATATAATAAGATAATAATGTCCTTCAATTAGTAGGTCATTTAGAACAAAGAAAGTTTACAGACACATCAAACCACAATTTGATTGGTTAGTTATAACATAACTACAATTAGTTATGGAAATAACTAACACGATTTACGAATAAACTTTGATATGTGAAACAGATTTTCGGGCTCATTTGATGTGTGTCCGAAAACTATGAGTGTGTCAGCCGTTCACACATCAAGGAAAATGGCGATCAGAATTTAGAGTTCTTTGGTTTCATTTACTTATCAAACGTCAGTAACATAGTTGGAGTAGATCTTCATTCAGCAATCGTTTTTGGGTGCTCAGTGAAGCAGAGATTGTGTTACTTGTCGTTGTCAACATCATTAACTTGAAGTGCTCACTTGACAATCATTCTTTATTACTGAGAAGTTTTCGATGTCAGGATTGTATTCCAATGAATAGTATCATCATTTGCACCCTTAATTGTGAAAGTTGCGGTCTTCACTGACTTACTTCTATCTTGTCACAGAGACCATTTTGATATTCATTTACGATCTGTTGGACAAAGTTAGCTGGACAGCATTGATCTATCCAGACGATGCAAAGGTTTGTAGGTCCATCAGAAGCTAAGAGGATTCGGCTAAGCCCTAAAAGGGCCCTACATGTATTGAGTAATGGGCTGTGAAAAACAGTTTAAAAATGAACCAGTCGAAATGTCACGTTATTTACTTTCTGCCCCACATGATGCAAACGATTTACTCCCTAAACAGAAGTCCACTCCCTAAGGACTCCTTAGAGCGCGATGTCGGTTCGATAGCCACTAAAAGCCTCCACACCAGTTTGGCGCAGCCAAAGTAAATGCAACTCTTCACTTGATGAGAAAACAACTTGATAGGATCACTTGGAATTATTCTTAACGTTTCTTGAATCATACATACCGAGTTTCACGACGTCGTCACACCCTCTTTCTTTAAAAGAGACATAACTCTCTTGGATCGAGTGCATAGATGTGCAACTTAAAGGGTGATAGGGTTGATTTTATCAGTTTGATTATATAAATTTAATCCTAATTTTTTACGCATATCTGGTATCATTAAAGGACTTTATTGTGTTTCCTCCTTCATCTCTAAAGGAAACACTTTTGAGCTTATCAAAATGCGGGTTGTGAGTTCGTGAACTCAAATTCTAGCCTTCAGATCAACGTTTTATTACTCACCAAGCGAATATTCGGGATTTCTTTGGAAGGAACCTAAGGATATTGTTGAGTACTTAGAACAGTATTTTACCATAATAATCAAATTTTTTTCCTAAATTTGCATAAAATACATATACTTCCACCCGTAGGGACCGATAGTCGACTACATCTAGACGTGGAAGCCTAACATGCAGGATCTTATTAATGGCGACTATGTATGTCCCAACCGCTTGAGCGTTTGCATTAATTCATCAAGCACAACTGTAGTTAGCCTAAGATTTAATAAAACGTGAAATTCCACCGCAAAAGTATCGTTTAAAGAACCTTGTAAATCTTTCGAATAAACAAACAAAAATGGCTCATTTCAGGTTCGTTAATCTATAGACTACCATTTGAAGAGCTCCTTACTATCAACTTAAAACTTCGGATTCGAAGTTTCGAGGGAGTGATTAGTACTGCCTTCCGCATCCCATATCCTTTCCT